CAAACTCACTTCCAGTGCAGCCGTGTTAATGTGAGATCCTACTAAAATACTTTATTCACAACATCTTGTTTCAGCAAAGATGAAACAGTTATATCAGTTGAAACATCAACAGTTACAACAGATGAAACATCAGTTACAGATGTTTGCAAAAGACAGAAGTGAAAAGAAAAAAAAAAGGAAAATTACAATTAAATTGCTCAGACTAGAAATAGCCTAGAAGGTTCTGTTTCGTTCCCTTACCGCTCTGAAACACTGTCCTCTTCTGGCACGGTGGTACACAGCTTCTTTCTCCAAGCATAGCTTATACCTTGCTGTATCTAGTAAGGAGAGCCCTCCACAAGAAAGTCTGCATTTAAACATACACTCATCAGAGCGCTTTGAGAAACTTTTTGGCTCCAAAAGTCTCTTTATCAGGCTATATTAAAGGGGTTCAGACAGATTTAATCTTTCACTTTGAATCTCATAATACTCCTTCCTCGTCCAGGAGACAGTTTGGTCATCTGTCTTCATTAAAATAAGGACTTCCTCACTCCCATGGGCATGCAAATATTCCTTCCTCAGATGGATGGGAACTACTCTGTTTCACCAACTGTTTAACACTTTGTTGCCTCAGAAAGTTCTCTGCTATTCCATCTAGTGACTTACTGGCATCTTTAGCTATGGCATGTATACAGAATCTTGCAGTCTGTAATAATCTGTGCATTAACAAGAACCCCCCATTGCATCCATCCAGATGAGATTAACATAGGCTGACTATGGTTGGCATCTGGCTGAGACCAAACACAGTGGCACTTAGGTGGGTAATCTCTAATATTCTTCTCTTGTAGGCACAGTCAAGAACCACATTCTGCTAGTCTGCATGGATGGATCCCAGGGCTGTTGCTTTTCGTGATATGTCTATCAAAAAACAGCTTACACTTACATCATTCTTGCTGACGATGGATCTCTGTCCAACAAGAAGAAATTACCAGTACTGTTTGATAAGATGTGCATCTTTTGATAGATGCACATTCTAGCAGAAAGAATGCTCGTCACTACGTGGGAGACATTACTGCCATCAGCACCCAAAGCAGCATTTCCTGATCCCACCCAGTCTCATGCTCCATGCCTGGGAGATGAGATAAAGCATCATTTCAGACCATCTGAGCTGGAGAATCACAGGGGAAAGCATATGCACAAGGTCTACAGTACTTCCTGATGGGGCTAGCAGTGTCCCTTCTGTTATAGCTGAGTCCAGATTCACTTGGGAACAATGGCTGTCATTTCTATAGCGGTTTCATAGTAAGTAAGTCAACATGCAGTCAGGCAGCCCCTTTGTGAGTCACTATCTGGAAGCTGCTGCACATGTGGTTCAAAGAAAATAACTGAAAGAATACGTGAAGACTTGACAAGATCTTGAAATAGTTTATTATAATTCATTGTAATAAAGAGACAACTGGTTCCTGGGAGGTATGTAAAATGGTTACAACCTCACAAGCCAAGAATTTTGCATCAGCTATTACTGGTGGGTAATGGTAGGTAAAATACCTTTCGCTTTTTGGAAGAAGCTAGAAGCCAACCAGGAGCACACCTAGTTTCTAGGAACACGGCTACTAGCCTGCACATCACCATGCTAGTGCAACTTAACAGATCTATCTCTCGAGTACTCCAGCACATATTCCTCATTTGGCTGTAACAGAGACTAATTTTACACTGCATCCACACAAAAGAAAAGACCTCAACAGAAAAGAGATCTAGGTCCTGCTGCTGAAAAAAAATTGTGCCAAGGTGGCAAATTGGGATGGAGAGATATGAAACACTGTGACAGAGATGTATGCTGGCATCATGTGCCCATAATAAACACTGCCAGTAGTAGCTTAAGCAGTGACAAGACAAACAGGCAGTTAAGACAAACCAGCAGGTGCCATCAGTGAGATGTCCAGTCTATGAAACTGCCACAGGTAAGGTAGGGACAGTGGTTTTATAGCATATTACCTTTGACATACCCATCGGCTCAAAGCCAAGTATGGAAATCAAATGTTGTTTCTGCATTAGAATTGGATAATATTATTTTTATTTTATGATCTCCGCTATCATAGTTCTTTTTGGGAGTCCTTCTACTTAACTTGGGGAAGATCTCTGATAAGTTTACATCACTTATCTTATAGACGAACCTTCCCAGGAACGCACACTCTGTATATAGGTGTATAGATGTATATTTTGTCATACACACTGCAAGAATATCCTGCACGAGATCAAACCAGAGAACAAGCCATGGCCTGCCCGAGGAAGCACCCGAAGAGACATTAGAAGGCCTGGCATCATCCCGCAGTGCTCTTTGTTTAACCATGATGACTTTAAAGAAAATCACCATATCAATAGGACAAGGAGAGCACCGAGACATCTTGGAAACAACAGGATGACTACTGACTGGCACCAGATAACAAATAAATTAACAAGTAAATAGCAAATGTAAACCTTCTGATAAGATTGTGAACCTGGAGTACCCAGCCATTGGGGAAACAGGAGAGGGGGAAGGCAAGGGGCAGAAAACAGGGTATAAAGGCTGTCATGTTGTGTCCATAGGCGCGCTCCTGCTTGCGGGACGCCCGCCATTGCAATCGCGAATAAATTCTGCTTTTATCAGAGATACCGTCCTGACAAAAATTATTTGGATATTTCCAACACAAGGAATAGACTCTGAGTGTCAAGGTGCTAACCCAGTGTTAAACAGCAGGCCTCAAATGCCAAATGTACCTTTGAGGTGACTGTATGGCGCAGCATCAACCCTGCATTAAAGTCAAGAAAAAAAGCAAATATACAAAATGAGACTGAACAAGCTGCCTATGTCCTGAACTACCAATTTTTCAGGAACAAAGGTCAAAGCCAATCAGTCAGATGTAATCAAAACATTGTCCTGCCAGGGCTGTATGGGGCTTCATCACCTGCTTCAACTGAAAAGTCTGGAGGTTGCATCGAACTTCTGCTTTGTCTGAGGCCTGAATGACACTACAGGTGTCACACTTCCTTGTCCACACTTTGAGGAAGTGCAGACATCTGCAGAGTTAACATGACACCACAGTATATCCCAACTTTAGCAAAAACAAAAACAAACAACAAAAAAATCAAAATTAAGAAAATGTAATATCCACACAGAAGATTTTCATGCAGTAGCATATTCTGCCTGAGCAGACTGAGAGAAACTGAGCCAGCCAAGAACACCAGGTAAGCTGGAGTTGTCCCTGTACAGTGTCTGTACATGCTGCAGGAGAATATTGTTGTCTCACAAAGGCTACAGACTTCATGGAAGGTGTGGGAGGCTCAGAAATGCATGGATCTTGTGTGCAGTATGACAAACAAGAGCAAGCATGCCCTGCTTCAATATTACTTGAGTTTAGGACTACTCCAGTGAGGAGCTTTAGACTCTAATCGGTCTTTCTAAAGTCATTTATATGTTTTACCCACTCATCTGAACAGAACTTAAGTGCTCCCCAAAGCAAGGACCAGATCCCTCTTCTATCCACTCTTCTATTCTCTGCTGCTCTGTAAACCATATTCCTTGGTCTACAGCAACCCCATTGCAACAAGTGCAACTGCAAATAATGGTGAGAGGACAGGTTGGAAGTGATTAGTCTCAATCCCAGCTGTTCACCAAGCAGTATCACTGCCAACAACAGGCATTTGTTAGTCAGGCCCTGAAAACCTCCAAGGATGGAGATTCTACCACCTCCCCAGGCAGCCTGTACCAGAGCTACCCTGCCTGTCTGGTAAGAACCTCATTTCTGATCTGGTCTTCTGAAGCAGGACGAGCTACTGTTCCTTGCTGTATCTTCTGTAAAAAGCTGCTTGAGATTATGAAGAAACTGACTCCAGGCCATCTGCTTTTCTGGGATAGGTTTCAATGACAACTGCCTTTATCACACAAAAAAGGGGCATCTACCTCTTGTGCCTGTTTTTTTTCCTCAGGCTAATGCATGTGAGTAAAGGTCCATCACCAAGCTGGCTCAGCCCTGAGCTTTGCAAATGCGGACAGAGCACTTAACTCCTAATGATCTCCCCAACCTGCGAAGGATGTTGTCAATGAGCCAGAGCCCACTGTGCTTCATAATGAAGGCAAGTGTTTAATGGCAGTGTGCTTTCTAAAAAAGTCCAGTGAGATGTCAGTGCATAAAGCTAAGGTAAATAAGGACTTGGCAGACTTCTAGGACAAAGACACATCAGTCCCTGAATGGACCATAAGGCTCACGGACAGCCCATGGCTCTTTCTTGCCCCTACAGTGAGTCAGAAAGAAGCTGATGGGTTTGGCTATGTAGTAAACACAGTGAACTCTTGCTGTCCTCCCCTATCATCTTGTCATTATTTCTATTTCAGAAATCTGGTTTTGCAGGTCACAAGTTTTGCAATGATGTTGTAAGCTCATGACCAGAAAAGCAGGTAAGATGGTGTAAGCCAAAGTGGTACGAGTTTGACAGGTCTTGAGTTGCTGGTAAGAATGTGAGTTAAGTCTGTTTCTCTATTAGCAAGACAGTGTTTAAAGACAGAAAAATGGACTGAAAAGTCTATCTCTGTTATCTCGTTACACACACTTTTCTTCTTCTGACTCCACAGGGAAACTGACTTTGAGTTGAGCAACTTTCCAATTAACTATTTCTGTTTTCCCCTGAAGATGCTTTAGTGGTGCCAGACATTCTATCAAACAACTCTAAATGTATGTACATATGTAGATACACATATCTCCAGCTGAAGGAAAAAGAAATAAAAGAACGTAGTAGAAATTACATCATTACAATGTCTTATGTTCTAATTCATTCATGGCAGGGCTTTTTCTACTTTACAGATATCTTTGAATGGTCAGAATTAAGATGAAAGAGGGCTAGAGAGTAGTTTACATGGCAGCAAGGTCATTCATTCATTTCTACAACTCTCTGGGCGTAGCTCTTATCAAAACTAACTTGAGAGACAACTCCCTGCAGCAGATGTCTGCTACTGGGGTGACACATCTACTGGAGCTTCCACTTACCGTTCGTGAAGGTGTTCACATAGTACCTGCGGCCCTGGGGAGACATATAGCTCTGCCAGCCTGGGGGAAGATGGCTGTTCAAGGTGTCTTCTCCTGGCTGAGGAGTTGCCTTTCTGGGCTTCTGCTGAGGAAAAAAAAAAGAAGAAAATAAATAAAGAAAAAACACAATCCTTTAACTTGATATCTAGATAATGTAAAGCCTAACGAGACACACGCCTGGAAAAGGATCATATGGTTTAGCATTCCAGACTGCAAGACACCTAAAGAGTTCCATTCATTGCTCTTCTTATCTGTCCTATTCCCAGAATAGAATTTATCTCCTAGAAATCTTCCTTTGGAGCACTGGGATACAGAATATTCTTTGGGAGAGAAATGGAACCCCTTTGTATTTGATGCTCCACAAGCACTGGACCTGTCCAGTAAAGGCACTCTTGTTAAATGATAAAGTGCAAAGCAGAAAGCAATCATCTGTCTGAGAAAGAAGGATATGCGTGTGGCACTCTCATTTACACTGACATGAATGCGCTGGCAAGTAAAAGCATTGGTCATAAAGGTTCTGTCCAAATGTAATTTACAGGGGTACCATCAGCTTTAAACATTGTCAAGAAACTCTGCAGAGCCCTGTTGCCTTAAAGGAGCAGCATGCTGAATTACACTCATCAGTATGCTGATTAAATACTGATAATGCATGTAATTATCAGTGCATAAATTACTGATCCAGATGTAATCTGCATCCATATCATGCGGATGCAGGATGATGTCTTTATATGGCTATTATTCTGATGGTTAGGATCCAGCTCACTAGGAGAGATCCACATCACATCTCAGAATTGCTATGAGTGTTCAAGTACCACCTCAATAGTTCACATCTCAGTTGCAAGTATTGGTGTGCTGGGGTTCAGGTTGGAAGAAAAAGGTGAAGCTGAAGGGCATGACATTGTAACCCCTGGTGATACCACCTCTTCCAAGCAGCTCTGGTGTTTCCTTGATAGCGAGGGAATTACAGTAGCTGCTTAATGTGAGAACAGCAAAGAGGGCTTCATCCCTGCCTTCAAGCAGGGATGCTGAATGACAACACCTGGGGAGCATGGCCAGAGACTGCCAGTCGCAGTCTCACAGGGCTGCAGCTGTGAGCCCAACAGCCTCCTGCTGGCTCACATCCAGAGAACATCGCCTTGTATTTCTGTTTACTCCCTAAGGCAAACCAGGCATGTAATATACTAATTTTTAGGGGTTTTTGTTTGCTTGCCTCGCCTTGCCTTAGAACAAAAGGAGAACAAGGAAGAACATGTGAAATTGAACTATTTATTCAACAGAAGCAAATATCCATCCAGAAAATGCCTTCTGATATGGTGGAGAGGTAAGAAATGACTGCAAAGGCAGCCACACTGAGGGAAGGCAGAGTTTCAGCATCTGCTGCATATAATATTCAAACACTGGCAAAATGAATAGAGTTGTTAGAAAGAAAAAAACCAAACAAACAATGTGGTGCGCCCTTCTTCTACAGATCTGATTTCTGCTTGAAGTTCCAATTCTGTTCCAACACAGAACAAATGGGATATTTAGTGATTTTGGAGCCAAAAGTATATTTTGCATTTCTTTTCAGTTTGAGAAAACTCTGATTCAGTGGCCCTCTGGAGGCACTGAACTTAAGAGTGATCTTGCATTTGTGTCTCATCAGGTATATGATAAAGGCAGATCACAGCTCCAAGGCAGCCATGTGGACCCAAGACCAACGTGAGATAAGTATTATCTTGACACTGCAGCACAGATCGTGCTTGTGCTGATTCAGATTTTAGCTCCTCTCTTGGGCAGAGAGAGAGCCTGGGGGACACAGCTGACCCAGTGTGACCAGGAGAAGACAGAGAGGGGATCTTATTAATGTGCACAAGCATCTCAGCGGAATTATCAACAGGATGGAGCTAGGCTGTTTTCTGTGGTGCACAGCAACAGGACAAGAGGCTCAAACTGGAACCCGAGAGGCTCCATCTGCACGTGAGAAACAAATTCTTCATTGTGAGGGTGGCAGAGCCCTGGCACAGGCTGTACAGAGGTGCATCTCCCCTGCAGATTTTCAGACGTGCCTGGAAGTGCTGCTGGGCAGTCTGCTCTGTGTGACCCTGAGTGATGCTGTGGGGTTACCTTTGTGATCCCCAGTGATCTTCCAACCTCAGCTATTCTGTGAGTCCAATTCTGTGGCTCTACAGAGTGCATGACTCAAATGAATATTTTGCATGCCTGAGGCTAGCATGGTGCTTCACACAACTGATCAGTAGGATCTTTGTTATCTGTTCCTGTTCCCTGTTCTTCTGGTCTCTGAGGCTTAATGAAATCACGTACATGTGAGAAAGCAGAACGGTTTATGTTGCTATTCAATATTTACTTTTTGCTGATCTCAACTTAGTATACCAGGGAAACCTCTCTTACACATCAGCCTGCCCCAAGGCAAACGTTCTCATTATTGTTTGTGTCTAGAAACACTGTTGTTTCTGCCTAGAAATGTACAAAATGAAATTCCTATCTTAGTCAAACTAACACAACCATGCCTATTTTTCTGTGGGATCCCTCCCCACGTGCCACTGAAATACCTCTGTGTTTCATACAGCCCTCCATAAGAGCACCAAATCCTACTAACGAAAACACTGAAGTTGATGAATCTGACGAACAGGTATCCCAGCTTCACCTCTGAGTTATCCAAGTTCTCCTCCACCAGACGGTTGCTGACAGCGGTGCCTTGTTTCACTCAGCAATACCACTCCCTGCACAGCTCCAGAAATCACGTTCTTCTTTCCAATTCCTTACAGCCATGCCTTGGCACCACAAAAAAGACCTGCTCGCACAGCCCCTGCCATACAAACACGGCATCCACCATCACCTTCTGTTTGATTTTATTCTCAGTCAGGACTGAAAATAGTTCCCTGCAGGCTTCCAAAGGTGCGATGTCACTGGGAGCACCCGCTGCTCGCACAGGTGATGCAGATCAGCACCTGCAGCACCAACCATGTGAACCTTAGACAAAAAATGTTTTTGTGCCAGCTGGCTTTGGCTGCTCCTCATTTGTGTGCTCTCCCCTGCCACACCGAGGAGTTTCTCCATTTCTGTCTCTCTCAGCCCCCCCCCCCCCCCCCTTTCTACAGCCCCACCTAATGGAATGAAGCATGGGGAACTAAAAAGAACCTTCATCAAGTGTGCCCCATCAGTGCAGTTACCCCAGTCACTCTGCTGATGGTTAGGAGGAATGGTGGCTGATTTCTGTCTACAAAAGTACCTCCCGAAGGGCTTTCCTTGCATTTGCCCACATACAGTCCTTATCCAAAGCACAGGTAGGTTTGTAAAGAAAGCCAAGACTGAAGGATGCTTGGAGGCTTGAGGTCAAGTAACACATGCAGGGAAGTTCAGATCAGAACGGAAAGCAAGTCAGTTCCAGGCTATTTTTTTAACTACAAACCAGTCCTTCTCCAAACATTTTCCAAGGGACAGCACAGAGTAATGGAACAACTCCAGGGTGAGCTCCTGAATGCTCTCTACCACAGGATTAGTGACCTTCATTATTGTTTGAAAAAGCATACTGAAGAAAATTGAAATTCCACAGCGCAGGAGTCTACCAGCTCCTGAAGAATTTGGCAGCAGACTGGGATCCACTGCTCAGCCTTGAAGATAACAAAGTTACAACAGACTGTCTCAGCTGTGCAAGATGACCCCAAGAAGAGGAATTCAGGATAATCCCCTCCTGGGTTCTGTTCCAGAATATTAAAGTTACAGGACTGTATAAACTTACTGCACACTTCCCACGTCTGTCCTTACACCTTCTTTGCCTCCTGGAGATGAAATCACATCCATCCCTGCTCCTCCTTTTGTTTAATAAGGCCCAGTAGTGTACCCATGTAGCAAGAAGGTCAAGACAAAGTTTGGCACACTTCAGATATCACTTCTCTTCACACCATCGACAAGCACCAGTACCCTGCAGGGACAGATACCCAGTGGTTTGCTTAATGAAAGCTCTGCAATTACTCCAACATCCTCTGAGTGACCTTTTCAGTTGCTTCTGGTCTCCCTGGCAGGCTGCAACAAAGGCAGAGGTCAGGTGCCACAGATGTGTTCTTAAATAAAAGCCAAGAGATGGAGGCAGACAAGAGAGAGTGGACACCACTGTGACCACCATTTAAACTAGGGTGGAAAAATAAAGAACAAAATTAAGCAAATGTTTCAGCTCAAACCTCTGTCAAAATGTATCACTTCAAAAAAGCATGCAAACATTATGTTTTGCAGTTATAATTCTATTTTGGAGTTCCTGATATTTCTACCACTGCTTCTGATTCTGCAAACGCAGAAGTGCTGAGAGCACAACAGTCCATGTGAATGACGGTAGAGATGACTGAACACAGGGAAAACCCCCGTGCTGCCAAATGCCGTTCTAATAAACAATAGAACATTGGTTTGCTTGGATGTACACGAACCATGGATATGTGAATCTCTTCCTTTTGTTTGTGAGGAACATGATTCTAAACAGGAGCTCACTACTGTGCAGTATTTTACCCCACCTCAGGGCTGCAAAAGAAAGCTTCTGGCTGTGAGGACCACTCTGTATTAGAATCTCTAATTGGTCCCACTGGAATCCCCTCCTGCACACACTTGCACTTCCTATAGCAGCTCCACTCCCATCCCACCGAGTGGGAGAAAGGAACTGAAAAAGGAACAGGGAAGGAATCAAAGCAGAAATGAAATTTGGTTTCACCCTCTACTCTTCAGCACCCTGCATTCATTGAAGCACGGACAGCAGGAAGCTCTGGCATACATTGTATGGTGTGGGGCAGCAGGGTTTAGGGCTAGGCTCTAAAATGCATCACAGCCAGTATTTTCGCCTGGCTCAGCAGTGCATCCTTTGAGAAATGAAGGTTGTGGAGGCCATGGGGACAGCGCATCGTCCCAGCTCGACCAGGCGATCAGAATCACAGTAGAGTGACTCTATTTTGCCTGGAAGACACAGCCCAATCCAAGCCATTCCCTTTTTCCAGCATCAGCACAGTTACATTTGAACCATACTTGCACACCCACACAAGAGGAGTTCAGACTAACCTGGCATGTAATGTAGGCAATCCTACTCAGTGCAGGAGACAAAGCAAA